CATCTCAAGTTACCTTGACCAATTCCATTGGTAAGTAATTATATGATATTTCTAATAATATCTGAATTGTTTGTGGTATGATAATTCAATTAGTCCATACAATTGGTAAACAATTAGATCAATGTAGTGGTTGTAAAAGTTCAATAAGTTAAACCATGGATAGTTGGCAAGCGGTAGAATTGTGGGGGAGATGTTTTTTATGCTAGTTGGATAACGAGTGCTAGTGATAACAAATCTACAATGGGTGGATTTTACACTAGGTGGTGGAGTTGTTTGTTGGGCTTCAAAGAAACAAACATTTATTACAAACTCCACTATGTAAGTTGAATTTCTAGCCCTTGCGGCGGCTGGAAAAGAGGCAGAATGGCTAAGAGACATGTTGTTAAGTATAGAGTTGTGGCCACAACCGATATTGCCAGCCATTTCTGTCTTTTGTGATAGTGAGGCTACTTTGTCGAGATCTTATAACTAGATTTACAATGGTAAGTCTAGAGCTACTAGTCGAAGACATGATTACATTAGATATTTTATTTCTAATGGAATCATTTCTATTGTGTGTGTTCGATCATGCAATAATTTGGCAGATCCTCTTACCAAGGAATAGCCAAGAGGCATGATCTATGAGACATTCCAAGGGAAGGGATGAGACCTCTTGTGATGTTAGAAGTAATGGGAACCCAACCTTTTCTTTAGGTATTCACTAATAAAAAGTTCAATGTGGTAATAACAAGTTACTCTAACTAAGGTACTAATTTATTGTACAAGTAAACTAGTCCAAAGAAGGGTGAGTTAAAGAACTCCTAAGATGAGTTATAGAAATCTTAATGAATTCATTTGGAATGTCAGCTATGTGAGCATTAAGAGTGGTGCCGCTCTAACAAAAGTAGATGTCAACTTTTCTGAATGCTCATGAAACAGGATCAGCACATGGCCATAATAGTGCTACTCTTGTTGGTGGTTGTGGTTTAGAGAAGAGGCAAGTAAGTATGTGTCATCTCCGCTTATAGCTTTGGATCGTGACTCCTAGACTTAAGCCTGTCACTGATTCGTTATCAACTTTGAGATGCTTACACTAGGTAAAGGTTCAAATCGAAAAGATACCTTTATGTATGCGTAACTTGTTCGAGGCATGTATTCTCAACTCTTGTTGACTAAGTGGGGGATTGTTAGAGTTAGTCAATAGAGTTGTAATACCACATTGATGGGAGAAGGAAAGTATTAAGAATTGAGTCTTTTGGCAGTTTAATTAATTAATTATTTGTTATATTAATTAATTAGCGTTTTAATATTGTGAAAAGAGATATTCTTTCTGAAAGGTAACTACCATTTTCTGTGAAAGGATGTGTCCTTTCGGGAAAGGTAACTACCTTTTTCTGTGAAATGATATGTCCTTTCGGGAAAGGTAACTACCTTTTTCTGTGAAATGTTGTGTCTCTTCGGAGGTAACTTACAGTTTTCACAAGTATAAATAGAGGACTGCTATAATAAATCTTTTTATGACGTGAAATTACTTCTTCTACCCGTTTTCCTTCTCTATTTCATAAACACAGAAGTTTGCATGATTGCTGCTTCCAGACTTAAAATTGAAGGGACTCTTGGGGGTGGTTTGCTCGAGCCTACCGGCAATTTGTAGTGGGGGCAAATAATACTCTAAGGAGAGTGATTAATCACGTATTCAATCCGATTATTTCCTTCCAGTTCCTGATAGAATGTGCAAGCAGGTGAAGGAGAAATCGTCGGCTTGGACTGTCGTGGAACTCTTGCAAGCGAAGCCGTTCATTTTCACTATAGAGGGAATTAATGAATCTCGAATTCAATCAAACCGTTTACATAGACATTATAGTCAAACTCGAATAAATGTTGGTAAGATATATATGCATACCTTGATTGTTTCTATCTACAACACATAAATCCAGGAGAGATGCAGGGTCAGAGGCAAATGTGAGATGACAGAAAGTGAGAGCTAGCGCTAGGGTCAACAAAAGAAGAATTGGCATATTTCCCATCCCAAATTCACGAACAGATCGTTAGAGATAAATTGTTTGAAATACTTCATTCAAATAAGCAAAAAAAAAAAAAAGGTAGTAGTTTAGATTGAGTGATGTTTGTGAATTATGCCCGTGAAAGGCTGTTGAAATAGAGCCTAGCTATGTCTGCTTATTGGCCCAGCCGCCCAGGCTTGAGGAACTAATGGTAGGTGGCATTGATTTGTCATATCGTACAGTAAGATATAAATTAATAATAATAAAAAGTGAATGTAATCTACGAGTACGAGGTTAGCCGTCCGTCGGCGATTGACTGAATTTGTAAGATTCTTGCCGACGATAATATAAAGCGGCACATGCCAGGAATATCCAATTAATCCCAGGTCCGGCTTTTCTTGCAGGAGGCAAAGGCGATCACGAAGTTGCATGGAACCCATCACATTTTTATAAAAAAAGAAACCCATTGCATGGTAATCAACGTCAAGGAAATTAATGAAATGAAACTAATCAGTGGAAAACACGAGTGCCCGGGCAAAGTGACACAGCCGACTCATTAGCTTACCCATTTCACAAGTTTGGATAATATTAGTTTGTTCTAGTCCAATATAAGGAAACCCCACTAGTGATACGATAGCAAGGGGTGGGATGACCGGTACTTCAATACTTATACTCGTTTTGTATAATATAGTTAAAATCGCATTTTAATACTTAAAAACTTTCGCTTTTAGGTCACTAAAACGCTTCTACACATAATCGCCGTATTTATAATTAATGTAGTTAAAAACTGTGCTTTAAAGCTTACGATTTTATGCTTCTAGATCACCAAAACGCTTCTACGTAGAAACACGCTTTTGACTACATTGGTCTTGTATATCAAGTGCATATCATAGATAGATTAGCTATGTCCATGTGATCGGGTGTGTATCTTAACAGGGTCGGCTCTGAACTTCGAGAGACCCTGTTCAATAAATAAAAATGTGGGCTAATTTTTTATTTAAAATATAGTAAAATATTAATAAATAAAATTATTGAAAATTTATATAAGAGCGATAATGGTTTTACATAGAAAGATGAAAAAATTCAATATTTAATAGATTGAATCAAAGAAAGTATTAGCCAAACCTTTTGAAGAAGTACAATGTAAAGAGCAAATTTTTTGTTCCCCTCATGTAGTCCATTATATTCAAATTATCAGTGAAACTTTTTGAAATACGAAGTATTAACTAAGCCTCATTAGCAGTTTTGTTAGTAATGCTCACTTGACAACATGATGCTGAGTTGGAAGAGACTCGTGGCGATCAACATTCTGAAATTATAGTATTTTATTTAAAACAAGAGTTACAAAATTATTGACAGTAATAGAAAAATGACTATTATTCTTATGCTTTACAAAAATTTGACTAATATTTTGTATTTCGAAATGAAAAGTTTGATTAATAAATGAATTACTTGATAGAAGCATGTGACTTAGGAGGCCCTATAATTTGGAGGCCTCGTACGGTGAGGTATGCCTGCACACCCAAGAGCCACCTCTGTACCTCAAGTCCTCAATATTCATACTTGTTAGTTAACAAGCTAGGACAAGTTTTATAATTCTCATGCGAGTACGGATCGGGGCAGATAAACACTCTGCATGTTAAAAAAAACTATAACAAAATAGCATGGTAATTAACATCAAGGATTGAGCTGAACTGGTCATATTATTTTTTTAACACAAAATTCTCAACAACCACTCAGGTGACATTAAAGAAAAACATATAATGTCGTCGACTCAAAGTCACATGCATGGTTTGTTTTGGGTCTAGTTTGTAACATTTTCCTTTGTAGGTTGAAAAGTTCATAGGGAGAAACATTTTCGGTATATGGCGTATCAAGGTGTAAGTAGTTTTAAAACATTAAGGGCGGTGGGGGCCGCTATTTAGAAATCCAAAGAATATAGGGGTCGATGAAAATCCATGGAGTAGGCCCACTATACTATCATGCTTTATCTATATGATGACGTCATCACGGAATTTTCTTCTTAGAAAACTACCATTGGAATGTGGTTGCCCTAATTTCCTAATTTGGTCGTTCGGTATGCCTCTCCGATTAGAGCACTAAGACAGTTTAGGACAACTCAAATAGAGACTCCTTACTAGTTTTGATTTCCTAAAGGTATTCTAATATGCAAATCACACTAGAGCATCAAGCCATCATAATCATCTCAACACAGGACTAGAGGATAATCATTCGAGTAAAGCTCTCTGCCTCCCTCACTTGAATTCAACCTCGTTTTAGTTACTTGTCTGTTTAGTTTAATAGCTTAAAACAACATTTCTACCGTTAGATAAGTTGTAATTTGCTAAATAATATACTGATCGGCTACTAAATGGCATACCCTACTCTATACACACTGTGTTGATTTGTCATATTAGATTCGGCTGGCCTCTGAACCCCTCTAAACAACCTTCAAGATTTGTTTTGCTGGAAAGTCTTGCGCCCCTTTGAACTCCTCCCTTGCCAACCAACTATACATGGATTTCACCAAGAACTTTGAGTTGGCCTCCAACTTCCACGTCAACCTGCATTGACTAAATCTGTTCCTGGAAAAATCAACGGATTACAGGCCAACCGAATCTAATATGCAGACAAAAGGTAAAGAAAATGCGTTACTGGGAAGCCGATCGAATTAAACTGGAATGCTTCTCCTGGACTGGGCCATGGCCAATAAAGCAATATTTAATCATGGATTTTAATAATTAATCAGTTGGAACTCCTTTCTATATAAACCGGATAATGGATATGGAACTGCTCCACCAAAAACACACTAGCAACACTAATTACTCCAATACCTTCATACCCTTTTCAGTGCCTCTTCCTTTACTTAGTTCTTCTATATAAACCGGATAATAGATATGGAACTGCTCCACGAAAAACACACTAGCAACACTAATTACTCCAATACCTTCATACCCTTTTCAGTGCCTCTTCCTTTACTTAGTTCTTCGTCCCTCATCATTGTTACTGCAGTTTGCAATGGCACACCAGCTTGCTTTCCTCGCCTGCTTGGTAGCTCTCGCTGCTTGTGTAGGTTTCCCATTGGCCGGAGAACCTGCCAATCTTCAGGATTACTGCTTGGCAAGTCCTAACGCCAATGTAAGGATGAATGGATTGGCATGTAAGGATCCTACGACGATTCGGGCTATCGATTTTGCATTTAGCGGGCTCCACATTCGAGGGAATACCGCGAATTTGGTGGGTTCACCCCGGTTTCTGTGACCCAAATTCCGGGGCTTAACACGCTCGAAATCTCAATGGTGCGGATCGACTATGCTCTGTGGGGTATCAACTCTCTCCACACTCACCCTCGTGCCACCGAGATCCTGACCGTGATCGAAGGCCCTCTTGAAGTTGGGTTCGTCATGTCAAACCCTGAGAACCGACACATTACCAAGGTGCTTAAGAAGGGAGATGTGTTTGTTTTCCCGATCGGGTTGATACACTGCCAACACAATGTTGGGCATGGAAATGCTGTGGCAATCGCCAGATTGAGCAGCCAGAATCCCGGAGTCATCACTATTGCCAATGCCGTTTTTGGATCCAAGACCGACATTTCTGACGACCTCCTTGCCAAGGCATTCCAAGTAGACAAGCGAGTTATGGACCGACTCCAAGCTAAGTTCTAGGTCTCTTAAAGAGTATTGACACCAAGTGACCATATCGGATGTACTTGAATTAAACGCCATTATCTCATGGTATTCATATTTTAATTTGTTTTGGCTCCAAAGCTTATCAGATTGTTTGATGTTCGTGATTAATTAATTAATGTTTATTCAATTGTTCTAAATTATTAAACTACTTTTTCGGATTATTTTATTACTGTTATGTTGAATTGATTGGTTGTTTAAATCGCTTGGAAAGGGATGTCGCACAGTGCTGGTAGAAACTGATTCACAACTTGCTACTGAACTTGCCCGCAATCGAATCTATCTGGTATACCCCAATTTAACTCTTCCCGCTATAATTTTTCAAAAGCTAACTTAAGATCGGATGCACAACGATACAAGATTTTCGACGATGAACAGTACTCTCCGTCGGCAAATTGAATCACTTTGGGACGATGTCGCACAGTATTGTAAACGTCATAAAAATTTACAAATGTTTACAAGCCGAAGGTAAATGTAAGTAACTATCGGTAAGCCCAAAATTTTTATCAACCCAAAGTGACCGATTTTAAATAAAATACAACCGACGCTAAATGATTTTGATAGAGTATTCAACAGTTGATTGACTACTACTAACACTACTTTTAGTTCTGCTTTTTAATTAAATTAATTCTATAAAATTATCCATTTGTACTGCCAAAAAAAATTCTTATACCATCTACGATGAATCTGCATAATTAAGAGCCCCTGCCACATTAGATTCAAAATATGTCTAAGAATTCTTAAACCATTTATAGAATTTCATAAAATCAAAATAATCTGTTCTTAAACCAGCTTGTTCTTGCTATTGCTAAGTGTCACTACCCAGAAATCTGACATTTTGGCTCCAATAAAAATAAACCATTCGTACCATGATGGATATAATAATGCAAAAGTGGGGATCTATGGACTATGAAAATTAATGCTTCAAGTTCATGGGCATGGAGACGTATCCTGAAGTTAAGGGGTGCTGTTCACTCATACATGGGTTTGCAGGGGACTGTGGGCATGTGGAATGGGCAATAGATGCATTTGTATTCTGTTAATCGTGTCTATGATACACTTCTTCCTCATGGCAGCAATAAGGTATGGCATCATCTGATATGGGCTAAGTTCTCTGTACCACGTTGGAGTGTAATAGCTTGGATCATGGTCATGAATGCTATGGTTACTAATGTTAAGCTGGTCAAATGGGGGAGAGTGAGTGATGATGGATGTGTTCTGTGTGGACAGAGTAGTGAGACGAGAGACCATTTGTTCTTTGAATGTAGTTTTTCGCAGAGGATGATGAGTGGCATTGATCTGGGTTTAAGAAGTCGCACGTGGGACTCTAGGCTCTTAGAGGTGTGTACGATTGCGAGAAAACAGACACCTCTGGGTAGGCTGTATTGTTTGATTTGGAATTCTTTGATCACCTTCATCTGGAAGAAGCGGTGTCGAAGGAGTCACGAGGAAAGTCCACGAGAAGCTTATGTAGTTGCAGAACTTTGGAAAAGCGATTTATATATAATTTGTAATTAGTGGTTTCCCGTTGTTGATGCATGATTGCCAACAGGCGGGTCTTCCATTTATTGCATTATAGAGAGTAGTCCATGGTAGTACAGTGGGTGGGTGGGTTTTACTTTGGGTTGTTGTTCTGTTTCACGAGTAGTTCCATACTGGGATTTGCCCCTCGTTGTAATCAATTTTGGTGAGACTAATTGGTCTCACTGTTTCGTTTGAATGAAAAGGAAACTGATTCAACGAAAAAAAAGATATAGATCCCAAACTAACACTTGAAATACAATTAGAATTATTAAACCATAAGTTGTACAAAATTACCATAATATAGAAGTTATTGTTCCTTACGATAAAATCATGATGTTTTGTTCACGAAGGATGTTATAATCCCCTGCGGATGGTTTTAGGTGAACAAAACGCAATCGTGATGTTATGATATTTCCCTTTTTACCATTTACGGAGACTTCCTCTTCTTGCGACCCATCCAATTTTCCCCCTCAGTGGATCCCCTGGCGGCTAGCCAAGCTGAGATCGGAGTTGGATAGTCGTGGTCGCTGCGAAGCCTGGATTTGATTGTGTTGGATAGTAGGCGAACTGAACAGAGTTGGATAGCCATGATCACTGGCTAATCTGGGGCCGACGAAGCTGGGATCGAACTCGAAGCGCTCATAATCCCTTTCCCTGTGGAGCGGTCAACGGCTGGCAATGCTTCTATATCTGGGATAAGCTGCATGCATCCTCTCTGTTAGTATATAGAATAGATAGGACCAAATTGTAATATTTGTTTACTTTGTGTATTGTTTTGTAATAGAGTAGAATAAGAATAATATATAAATGTAATATTGAACAATGTAAATTTTACTTTTGGTGAAATAAAATTGGATCCGTTTCTCTCTCATAACATGGTATCAGAGCACTTTCTCTGACTTCTTTCTTTCTTTCGCTTCCGCTTCCCATCTAGGGTTTCGTCTTCGCGACGATGGCTTCTTCGTCTTCGTTCCAGCCTCCGATTCCTCTCGCAGCGGCGCTTGCGCCGAATCACCCCTACTACATCAGCTCCGGTGATTCCTCGACGACGCAGCTCGTGTCAATCGTGCTCACCGGGCCGAACTACCACTCCTGGGCGAGATCGATGCGCTTCGGTCTTCTGTCGAAGAACAAGCTCGCCTTCATCGATCCAGCCGTTCCGACGCCGCCACCGGGCGATCCTCTCTACACCGCCTGGCAACAGTGCGATACGATGGTGCTCGGCTGGATTCTTCGCTCTCTGGCTCCAGATATCGGTCAGAGCGTCCTCTGGCTCGATTCCGCAGTCGAAGTTTGGAGAGATCTGAGCGAGCGCTTCAGCATCGCAGATCTTGTTCGCATCGCTGACCTTCAAGACGAGGTGTTCGCACTCAAGCAGGGTAACATGTCTGTAAGTGAGTTCTTCACTAAGCTTAGGGTTCTTTGGGATGAGTTGATGACCTATCGGCCGATTAAGTCCTGTGCTTGTGTCCCTAAGTGTTCTTGTGCTGAGTATGCGAGGCTGACCAGATTATTAGGTTCTTGAGGGGTCTTGGTGATGATTTTGAGTCTGTACGTTCCTCGATCTTGTTGATGGATCCTCTTCCTCCAATCAACAAGGTTTTCTCTACTGTTGTACAGTTTGAGCGTCAGAACAGAGTGATTACTTCTGCTAGTGTCAATCCTTTGGCTTGTGCTGTTCAGAACAATCAGTTTAAGAGTCAGTCTAAACGTCCTGTTTGCACTTTCTGTGGATTGACTGGTCACACTGTTGACAAATGCTTTAAGAAGCATGGTTATCCTCCTGGTTACAAAGGGAAAGCTAGGGTTAATGCTGTAGTTAGTGAGTCTAAAGCTACTGATGTATCTGTTTCTCTTGAGAACGGAGTTCAGAACTCCGATTCTGTTGTACTTACACAGCAGCAGTACCGAGCTCTTGTTGCTCAGCAGTTTTCCTCGAGTCAGTCTTCTGCACCTGTTGCACATGTCCCAGTGGCCAATGCATTTACAACAACTGGAGGTGCTTCTGATTCTTCTGCACCTTCCTCCTCTGGAGGTAAGTATGTTCTTGCTAATGGTCATTTGCCTCAAACTGAGGTCTCTTGGGTCATAGACAGTGGGGCATCGGATCATGTCATTTCCAGCTTAGATTACTTTAGTCATTATTCTGCTGTCAATGATGTGAATGTTTCTCTTCCTAATGGTGCCAAAGTGCGAGTTACTCACATTGGTTCTGTTTGCTTGACTGATGTGTTAGTACTTCGGAATGTGCTATATATTCCATTGTTTGGCTTCAATTTGATCTCTGTCAGTAGGTTAACCAAAGACACAGCATGTTCTTTGACATTTTTTCATGATCACTGCATTATCCAGGATCTGGTCTCCCGCAGGCTGATTGGTACAGCTAGAGAGTCTGGTGGGCTTTATTGCTTCACACCTACCTTCAGCAACTCTCTTCCTGCCCCAATCGCTGCTTCCTCACCAGATTCCAGTTGTTTTTCTGTTGTCTTTGATACTACTATTCATGACATTGACATTAGCCACTATAGACTTGGACATGCTTCTTGTACTCCTTCGAACATTGTTATGTCTAAAGATTCTAATGTTGTTTCTCATAGATCTAAGCATTGCACTGTTTGTCCCATGGCTAAACAGAAACGTTTGCCATTCATGGTAAGTGAGTCTCATTCCCTTGCTTTGTTTGACTTGGTTCATATTGACATATGGGGTCCATATGGTGTTACTTCCATTGATGGTTATCGGTATTTCTTGACCATTGTAGATGATTACTCTCGCAATACTTGGGTTTACTTGATGCATAAGAAATCTGAAGCTCGTGACTTGCTGATTTTCTTTATTAATCATGTTCAAACTCAGTATAATCTTAAGCCTAAAGTAATTCGTTCTGATAATGGACTTGAGTTTCACATGCCTGCATTTTATAGTTCTTTAGGCATCATTCATCAAACCACATGTGTTGCTTCTTCACAACAAAACGGTCGGGTGGAGCGTAAGCAGCAGCATATCATTGCTGTTGCTCGTGCTCTGTTATTCCAGTCTTTCCTTCCTTCTAAGTTTTGGAGTCATGCTGTCTTACATGCCACTTTCTTAATTAATAGACTCCCTACTCCTGTGTTAGATAACAAGTCTCCTTATGAATTGTTACACCATTCTGTTCCTGATTATTCCACCTTTCGTGTCTTTGGTTGTTTAGTTTACATGTCTACCTTAGCCCATAATCGTCCTAAATTTGACCCTAGAGCCCATCCTTGTGTGTTTCTAGGATTCCCCTTTGCTACTAAGGGTTGTAAACTATACAATCTAGTTACCGAGTCACTGTGTGAGTCTCGTGATGTGGTTTTCCATGAAAAGATATTTCCTTTCTTTTCCAATGCTTTTTCTCATGCTTCGTCTGATTTTGTTTTTCCTGTTATTTCTGTCTCCTCAATGGATACCATTGCATCTCATGATGTTAG